CTGGGACTGTGGGGTGTGACGCGGGGAAGGAAGCATCCTGGGCAGTGAGGGACCCTTGATACTGTTGGCTGTAGCAGATGTGACTTGGAGCCACATACAAGGAGCAGACAATATTTTAACAATCCCAAAGTACTGGAGTTTCCAGGGTACTGGAGCTTCCAGTTGACATGTCAGTCCATCTCTTAGCTTTTGCCCAGATATCAGGCAGTGCTCATAAGAGACCTTGGATGAGTCACTTGTCCCTTTGGTCTTTGCCTTTGTGAGCAGCCTGCGGTGAAGAGATTTTTGCAGGTGTGCAAAACAGAGGGGGCTGCTTCCTCCCACCCGAGGGTCTCAGGACTCCGGGTGTGGGGAGTCTACCTGTCCATGGTTGTCAGAACCCTGCATGCATGTGTGCGTCATGCCATCCCTCACAGCCCTCAGCTGGGGGTTGAGGAGTTCAAGCAGAGGAAGTGGAGAAAGGAAATCCATTTTTCCTCGGAGGCTAGCTGTTTTGGGGTGATTCTGGCCTCCTGGTTCTCTCTGCTTCCTGATCATGTTCTCACTGTCTAAATATTTCAGTGTTTGGTAAATGCTAAACCAATATATGGCTGCGAACAAAGGAATTTCCAGTTAAATAAATTTATTATGAAACTGTCATTCTTTAAAAAAAATTTTTTAATTTTTTAAAGATTTATTTATTTATTTGAGGGGGGCGCAGAGGGAGAGGGAGAGAGAGAAACTCAAGCAGACTCCACAGTGAGCACAGCCTGACACGGGGCTCGATCTCATGACCCTGAGATCATGACCTGAGCCAAAGCCAAGAGTCAGACACTTAACTGACTGCACCACCCAAGTGAACCATCTTTAAAAAAATTTTAATGTGGGGAATGAAATCCTCTAGAGAGGGAATCTATTCCTCTTGTCTTCTGTTCACGTGGATGAAGAAGAGCAGTGAGCACCCCAAACAGAGTGGCATCCAAGGGACACCTATGTCTGTGTCCCTTCATGCACAGTGTCCCCACCTGGAGGTGGGGGTGCCCCCCAAGTCCCAGGTCGAATCCCCAGCAGTCCGTGTGGTCAGTAATGTTGGGCCATTGGACTGGGCTGTGGCTTTCTCTTGTGATAATCATAAAAAGGTTCTTCCCGCCAGACCCTTTATCACAAATTATCGTCAGGCAAGAGATTAAAATTTAAATCTGCATGGTCATTGGATGGATTGCTGTTCGGAGTTTTCTCAAATTCTCTGTTTACTTGGCATCCATTAATTCCAAAGCCAGATGAACAGCTGAAGCTGTTTGCATCTCCCCTGTGACCCAGAGCCCATCCTCTGAGCCACCTTCTTTATAGGGCTGCCCCGGCCCTTAATCAGTTCAGGGCCAGGTACAGGACACCTGTGGGCAGCCTACTTATGCCTCAGAGCCTGCCGGAGTCGTTAAAACTAGCCAGCCCGATGCCGTTTCCCCTGCCTTGTCTTGTCTTTCCCGTGGAAACCCCAGTAAAGGCTCTGACCTTTGCCTTCTCCTTATTCCTTCTCAGCCTCATAACCAACACTGGCATTTCCACCATGGCCCTGTGTGGTGTGGTGCACCTCTCATCACCGGGGAAGCTCTGGATAACATTCAACTTTTCTTTCAATAGCATTAACCTCTGGGTTGTCACTCAGTCACTTTCGTAAATTGAGATGCAGGCATACACTTACTGCTTTTGGTGGTAGTCATCCAATCAATGAGCAAGTCCTTCTGAGCACCTAACACTCGTCAGGCACTGTGCGAGGTACAGGGATGACTTTTTTTTTTTTTAAGTGTTGGAAACGTAACAACTTAGAGAGACGGGTTATATTCTTTAAATAACAAATTGTCCAAAATATGCTAAATGCTCTGTAGACGACACACACAGAAGCCTGGAGAAGTTTGAAAGAAACCCCAGATGGAAACAATGAAGGATGACTACTCTGAAAGACTGGAACTCAGCCTTGAACAATGGCTAGCATTCGGATAATGAGGAAGAGAGACTACTCCAATTAGGAGAAACAGCATGATCAGGGGCACAGCATAGAGCATGCATGGGGCATGTTTGCAAGAGGCTGAGCCTAAAGAGAAGGCTCTGGAAGATTTTGGACCTTTTCAGAGGCAGGAAGAGAGTGGCTGTAATTTATTATCGAATAATTAGGGCTAACATTTGTGTTAATACCTTCCATTTGATCAAGCACACACTTTTACCTTATGAAGTAGGTCCCTGTTTTTCAGATGTACAGGGTCTACTGGGGAGACAGCATACGCAGGGGACGTTCCACGGATGGTGGGGAGCGTGGGAGCAGTGTGCCTGGGGTGGGTGCCGTGAGGGTCCAGAGAGGAGCCCAGCCCAGGCTGGTGTGTGGTGTGGGAAGGTGGGTCAAGGAGTGCTTTCTGGAAGAGACACAAGAGAGCCAGGTCTTGAAGGACGGGTCAGGCTTCACGCGGTGATGAAGGAGGGGAAGGCATTCTAGGCAGAGAGAGCAACATGAGTTCAGGCACCTCTGTGTCTGAAAAAGTATGACCCTGTGGGGCATTCTCGGCATTTCCAGTACAACCAGAGACCAAGTTGGCACCTTCTGCTTCCAGATCCCGTGTTCTAGTTGGACAGGAATTTATCCCACCTTTCTGGAGGAAAGTGATCCAGTCGTTTATTTAGAAAACCTTTTTTCCCATTATTTGTTATCCTTACTATATCCAGAGAAGAATAACCAAACATGAAAGGTAAAGTTAGTAGAAAAAAAAATGTTTTTCTAGTTGGAGATTCATAGGAGGAGGAAAAAGAGCCTGAGTTCCTCAGATGGACACTGTCCAGAAGCAGATCCAAATGCCATCTATAGAGCCACATTGAAAGAGGGATTTTCTGCAAAAGGTGCAGCTTGAATGAGCCTTAAAGTGGAGATGAAAACCTCTAGCGTGTTTACTGTCTTGCATTTGTTGGAGGCAAGCATGTGCTTGGAGGAGCAAACTTTCTAAGGCAGTGAGTCAGACAAGTTTTGTCTCCCGTTATCCACAGACCAACGCCAGCATTTCACATGTGCGTATACGTTGTGGACGTGTTACACAGCATCAGGCACCCAAGGAGGTTTCGTGTATCAGTTGTGTTCAACATGAGCTTCCTGAGTAAAGGTGATTATAGGGCTTGGCCCTCCAGGCTGCTGGACTGAGATTGGGTCAGGAGAGGAGAGGAAAAGGCAGACTCCTCTGCTCATACCTGCCCCGTGGCTTTCCCCCGCTCAGCAAAGACCATCTCCTCAACGTGGCCTCCCAGACCCTACCTAGCAGCTGGTCCCTGCCCTCTGTAGCCTCATCCCTTTCTACTCACACGACACCAACATGCCATACTTCTCCCTGCCTCAGGGCCTTTGCACATGCTGGCCGCACTGCTTAGAACATAGTCCCCCTTCTCTTTGCTAAGTTAACTCTCACTGTTCTTCAAATCTCAAACACCAGGCAGTACTTCTGGGCCCCAAACTCAATCAGGTCCTTACATGTTCTCATTACTCATGGTCCTTGTACCATAAGTGTTAGGTCCTAATACCATTCTGATTAGTAATTCTTTTTTTTTTTTTTAAGATTTATTTATTTATTTACTTGACAGAGAGAGACACAGGCAAGAGAGGGAACACAAGCAGGGGGAGTGGGAGAGGGAGAAGCAGGCCTACTGCTGAGCGGGGAGCCTGATGCGGGGCTCAATCCCAGGACCCCGGGATCACGACCTGAGCCGAAGGCAGATGATTAACCGACTGAGCCACCCAGGTGCCCCCTGATTAGTAATTCTGCCATTAATTGTGGGAATTGTGGGTTGAGTGTCTTGTCTACCTACAAGACTAGAAGCTCAGGGGAACCGGGATCGTGTCTATTTTGTACACTGCTGCATCTCCAGACCCTTTCTCAGAGAAGGCAATTAATTAATATTTACAAAAGGAAAGAAGAGAGGGCAGGAAGAAATGCACAAGCCACTCCATTTGTGTATCATCAAAGGTCTTTGTGGTTCACTGTTTAAAATAGCTTTGACGAGGTAAAATTGACATACTATAAACACTCGGTAAAGAGTACAGTTTGATGCGTTTTGACTTGTGTCTACACCCGTGAAACCCATCACTACCATCAAGATAATGAACATATCCATCACTCCCAAAAGTTTCCTCTTGCCCCACTGAAAGCCCTCCCTCGCACCCACCCCCCAGACAACCGCCGATGTGCCCTCTGTCAGGACAAGATCAATTTGCACCTTCTGGAGTTTCATATAGATGAAATCCTATAGTCTGTACTCTTTTGTCTGGCATCTTTTACTCAGCATCATTACTCTGAGATTCATCCATGTTGATGTTATGTATCAGTAGCTCACTGTCTTTATTGGGGCGATAGTATTCCATTCTACAACTATATCATGCTCATTCCCCTATTGATAAACATTTGGGTTGTTCCAAGTTTTGAGCTGTTACAAGTAAAGTGTGTCTGCACATCTGCGTGTAAAAAAGTCTTGGCATGGACAAAGATTTCATTTCTCTCAGGTAAATACCTCGGCGTAGAATGTCTGGGTCATATGGTGGGTGTGAGTTTCATTTTTTAAGAAACTATCTGTGATTCACTTTTCACCCTGTCTGCTTCCAGCAAGGCGTTGTGAAGATTGCTAACATTTCTAAAGTGGGTTTTGAGTCCTTTGGGAAAAAAGGCACTCAGGAGGGTGGTGGTAAGGGAATTCAGGACGAGAGAGAGGGTAGGATTCCATTTTAATTTTAGCACAGTCGAGGAAATGGATAGCAGGTTGCGAACCCCAGACTTTCTGATTGTCATTCCTCTCCTTCACGTCACATGGTATCTGCCGCTGATTCAGTATCCCCCCAGATAACTCCTTGAAGTTCTTCAAGTACCGAGAACTTAGGAGTGGGGTAGAGGTCCACATTGATCTGTGATCCAGCATGTTCTGCTGCACACATGCTTTCATCACAGAAGCTTCCACAAACACCAGAGTCCTAACCCATTTGTCTCTCTTCTCCTCAGGGGACACTTAAACTGGCTTCAACTAGACCGAAGAGTATTGGAACATGACTTCCCCAAAAAGTCCGGACCGGTCGTTTTATACTTTTGTGTCAGGTACGTACACCTCATGTCCATCCTTTTGCTTCGTTGTTTTTTCTTTGTCAAGAAGTCTGGGAGGGCAGCATGATTAAAGGAAAGGGGAATCAAGTTCGTTGTGGTCCATCTGTCTCAAACTAAACTGAGTCTCTTATAGTAACACAAATCCTGGGGTTATTATTATTATTTTTGGTGGCGGTCATTTGGAGCTACATCACAAATGTCTGTGTCTTTTTTCCTTTTTTTTTCTTTTAAGATTTTATTTATTTATTTGAGAGACAGAGCACAAGCAGGGGGAGAGGCAGAGGGAGAAGCAGGCTGCCGGCTGAGCAGGGAGCCCGATGCAGGACTCGATCCCAGGGTCCTGGGATCATGACCTGAGCCGAAGGCAGATGCTTAACAGACTGAGCCACCGAGGCGCCCCTGAGTCTTCTTTCCTTTTCTCACAAGTGACACTTGGCCTCTTGAAACTTGCCTGTTTTATCTTATCCCAAATAGGAATAGTTGAAATGCAGCAGTAAACCATAGTTCAATGCATTCCCCAGGAAGGGAGGATACAGCTTAATAAAATACCAGAAACAAGGGGCATTTTCTGTTCACTAATCTATTATAAGAAGTTTTATTCTGTGACTGCAGAGAGTATAATTTGCGTCTCACGGCTCACATTTGCAAACATGAAGTCAGCCGGACTTACCACTTTCCCTCATTTGCAGAAGGTTTTGGCAAGTCAGAGAGGGGGCTCGAGTCTTGGGTTCAGGGGCAAAGCCAGGATCTGAGCGTCCAGATCCAGCATCTCCCGGAGCACCCCGTCCTTGGAGCCACCAGGCAGTTTTTGTGCAGAACCTTCACTGTGCACAACTGCAGGGGCATTTAGGCCCAAATGCCTCCATCTTCCAACGAACACCAGCACTGTTACCCAATACATGCACCCTGTCCTTTTAAAATATGTTAAAGTCCAATGGGGCGCCTGGGTGGCTCAGTCAGTTAAGCGGCTGCCTTGGGCTCAGGTCATGATCCCCGGGTCCTGGGATCGAGTCCTGTGTCGGGTTCCCCACTCAGCGGGGAGTCTACTTCTCCCTCTCCCTCTGCCCCCCAACCCCAGGTCATGCGCACGCTCGCACTCTCTCTCTCAAATACATAAATAAATAAGATCTTTAAAACTATGTATATGTTAACAAGTTCAAGAGCAGGACCACAAACAACTCACAGTTCAGTTCTTCCTAAAGAGCATGGTCAGGAATGCAGTTTTAATCGTAGCCCTCCTGATACCATGGAAGGCATCAGAGAGCCTAAGTAAGAGTTAAAGGGTCCATGTCCCAGACGAGAATATGTATCTTCACCTCTGCTGGCGGAGCAAAATTAAACTTGCATTTAATGCCCTTTTTATTTGTTTAAGAGCTGCAAACCTATCAGAGCTAATCTTAGCCATTTCCATTACTGATGCGCGTGATCTTGATGTCACAGTCTCTTTAATGGTGGCTTCATTTTCTCAGATAAATGGAAAGGTAACCGCATAAAGGAGAGTTCACAATTCCACTGGGGGGCGGGGGGTATGGGGGTGCGGCAACATCGGGCAAGGCTCAGTTGAATTTAAGAGTTTCATTAACCTGTAATCAAAGGTGGATGAGTCCACTTGCCATAATACATCAGGATCTCCCCTCCTTCCTGCTGCTTTTCACCAACATTAATCAAGAAGAGAAAATACTGGGCTGGTTGTATATTAGCTGCTTTTTGCAAGGGTCTATTATGAGCTGAGTTATTGGTGGGTTTCGGGAACCGAGCCTTGGAGGAAAGCTTGGGGCGCCATGAAATTGTCACTGAGGATATGCCGGCCGATCCAAGTCACTCGTGACTTCTGTCTGTGACACCAGATACACAGAGGAGAGCTGCAGAGGTAGGGCCCGGGCTCACAATACGGAGAAGCAGGAATGAATGCTTCTGCCATTTGCCACCCGTTTTCCTAGGTGGCTGCAGTAGGCATCTCGGAGAACACGCCCAGGGAAAAACTCTCCCGGGCCACATTTGGGGACAGACCCCTAGCAAAATATTGTCACAAGGTGGAGCTCCTTCTGTAGCTCATTGCAAAAGCTGCTCTTTGTGCAGAGGCTCGGGTTTCTGTGTCCAGCCTTGGCCACCTGAGTGCTTCTAACTCAGCTGCTCCAAAGCCAAACTCATCTTGACCTCCCCAGGCCTCCTGTGGTCCCTCAAGTCTGTGATGTCGTTACCTATTCAGTCCTGTAGACTTGAACCTTGAAGTCTAGATTCTTAGGTGCGTTAATTCTCTCCAGCTACTTCCACCTTCTGCCCTATCCTCCCCTCTCCCCATCATCTGTCACTTGAACTATTACCACCTCCCAGGGTGGGTGTCACCTTGGCACCCATCACAGAGGATCCTGGCTCCCAGACCCCGCTCTCCTGAGTCCCCACTTTGCAGCCAGCTGAGCAACACAGAAGCAAAACACCAAGAGTCTGTTTTCTCCAAGAGAGGAGACAGATGCTCTCATGTAGATGAATTGTGCATTTTTACCTTGGTGCCTGGGCAGAATTCCCAGCTTATACCTCGGTGCCTTTCCAGGGGTGCCCGCAGGCTATTTTCTCCAAAGGAATGGCAGGATGAATTATCTTCATAAAGAACTCAGACCTTGGACTATGCCGGGGGTCCATAAAGGAGCCCCCGTCTGGCTGGGCGATTTTCCCATGTGTGCACTGACCTTTCTCATTTCTCAACAAGAGCGCGACGGCCGCGGCCGGAGCAGCCCCAGCCCAGCCAGCAGCACACGTGCGTGCCTGCAAGTGGTCTCTCTAGCTGCCCCTAGCCTCTCTTCTTTTGTTTAAACATCTATAGATTCATCCCTGTAACACGTGCACCGTTAGCCTTCGTGGAAACGGAGAATAAAAGCACCCAATAAAAGACTGGAAAAGGCTGACTGCCTTAAGTCAAGTTCCGGGAATTCATCCAGTGGAAATATTAACCCCGTATCACTGGGGATCTAAATTTGGGCTGCCATCCCAGCATGGCTTACTATTTGGCAATTATATATTCTCTTGCTATAATGCATATTCGAAACATCTGTGAGAGTGGGGGCAGAATTACCACCTCCATTCAACCGATGATGAAAAACAAGACCCCAATATATTAAATGCCTTGAATTTGAAATCGGGGAATTCTGCTTTCTCCTCTGAGCATACCCCAAAGGGCCTGAGTCTGGTGTCGTGCTGCTGGGTATTCTCAGCATGGCTGGACAGAGGACTGAAAATCCGTCTTCACCGACCCATGATTTAGCCTAAAACGATCTCCCCTTTCCTCCTTCTGAGTCAGATCACCAGGAGTGATCACAGAGCCTTCAGAGTCTTAATAATGACCTAAAGAGGGACAAGGTCTGAGGGAAGGGAACTATCCATTATTAAACACCCATCCATTATTCAGGATGATTGTAAATCTTCACAGCCCTTGAATCACTATTATTATTCCTAGGTAAAGAGTGGGAGGTGTGAGGGGTGCCCGGGTGGCTCAATCGGTTAAGTGTCTGCCTTCGGCTCAGGTCATGATCCCAGGGTCCTGGGATCGAGTCCTGCATTGGGCTCCCTGATCAGTGGGGAGCATGCTTCTCTCTCTCCAACTCCCCCTGCTTATACTCTCTCTGTGTGTCTCTCTCTCTGTCAAATAACATCTCAAAAAAAAGAGAGAGAGAGAAAGAGAGAGGGAGATGAAGGCCCAACATGCTGATTCTCCTCCCAATACCACGAGTAAATTGCCACCTCTGTTCAGTTAGATCTGATTCCAAACTTTAGGCCCTCCCCGCTGCACCACGCTATGTCTCTCTCCACAAGTGAAATGCGACCCCGTGGTTGCTTCTCAGAGACTCTGGCCGGGCCACAGGCCACCAAGTCAGGATCAGTGACTTTGGGCCGTCTTGTGCTCCACACTTGGCCGCGGCTACAGGACCAGGGTCCACCCGGAGAGATGGCGTCAGGCGCAGATGCACCCCCACTGGGAGGGAGGGTGCGGAGAGCAGTCACCCTCCCAGGCCTGCCATTCCAGGTCTGGCACTACTCAACTCCAAGTGGCCTTGGCGGAGAGCACCGCATTGGTGGGGGAACATCCTGCAGTCGCCTAACCTGGAGGCAGATTGGAACCTCCATAGTGGCGGAGGAAGGGGCCTCGCACATGGTAAAGGAGGAGTTTTCAGAAGCCGAGGTATGTGTTGTTAGCCCCACTTGAGAACTTCCTGCCATCTGCTGAACGCCAGTGGGAAGGCATTCTCCCCGCACCGTGCTCTTTCCTCTCACGTAGGAAGACTCCACGGTCCCGTGGGCTCCCTGAGCCGCATCACTACGGGGCCTGGAGAGCCAAGACCCGCTCTCATTCGAGCTGTGGAGAGTGAGTTTCCTCCCCTGGGGACAGTGAGCTGCACACTCACCGTTGGCAATAGGTTCAGTTACCGATGCACAAATATCCACCAGGCACTGACCGTGTCGTGGGCATTGGTTTAGGAGCTAAGGGTAGAGCGGGGAGCAGAGCAGGCGAACCCCTACCCGCGTGCACCTCTGCATCCATTTCCCCAAATTCTTGGGCCCTCTCAGCCTGCCTGTCCTCCTCTCTGCTGATTCAGTCCAATCCGTGTTACCACCATTGCAACCACCCCTTCCCCAGGACCACCGCCCCCCGCCTTTGCTGCCGGTCACATGCGTGCATGCCCCCTTTGTGCGCTTGTGCACACACGTAGGGTGGGATCCGTCCAGTCACATATTTCTTTTATTTCTGCCTCTGAGCCTCCGAGTGTGGTCAGGGCTGGGGGAAGGGGGTCACACAGCCGCAAGCAAGTTGGTGCACGATTGCTTATGACCAATCTCACACAGCTCATCAGTGTTTCTAGCCACTTCTGTCCATTGCACCTGCTCGGGGTCCTCTGCGTTGCCCATGGTGGCTTTTGCTCCCTCCCACAGACTCCAAACCAGAAGCTCACTCCTTTGCTCCAAGAAGGTGACATTGCTTATGATTTTGTAGAGAAAAGGAA